TAGTTTGATGCCAATCTCCCTTTTATTCACACCCTAAATAAATCTCCAAAGAATTGGGAAATTAAATTTTATTATCGAGTATCTTTAATTAATGGCTTGGCCTATGTCGTTACTTAAAATTCGCCCGAAGAAAGAGAATACTTCAAAAATGAATAAAATAATAAAGTTAAAATTAATATTTGTGACCATTGATAAACAAAGCTTCAAAATGTGTTACAACCTAATATGAGAAGTACAATTAAATTTTCAATATATAAAACAACAAACTTACTAATAAGATGTTATATGTCCTTCCTCTTCCCCCTAACTTATGAGATATACCCCGTTTTGCCATAAAACTACTTAGTAAGATTTTGTAATCAAATTAATAAGTGAATATATATATTTTTCAGGCCTACTATTTGGATTCTCAAATAAATAATAGTATATAAGATTTTAAAAAATATTTTGATTTTTCACTCCATATTGAACATTTGACTTATTATTTAATAAATATTATTATAGAAACCGGCTCGCAGAAAATATTCCAACAATACAAAATATGTTCATTTCTATATCTCTTTTCTTTTTTTTTTAAAGATATATTGAAGAAATTAAAAGAAATCTTTTTATTTAAAGTGATATTGAAGAAATTATAGTAATTCGTTTTTTTTGTTTATTATCTCATTTTTTACAATTGTAAAATCTACATTAAATAATAAACTGTAATTTATAATTTATCACAATAATAATTATCTATTTTAAACAAGCTATAAGTAATTTAAATAAAGAGATTAGGTGCGTGCTTGTGTTCTGTCAGGAAATCGCAATTTTAAATAATCTGGACATTCGCCACATCTACTCAGTTTGGAATCTTCTCCGCATTTAGCCTTGCAAAACGCTCGTATACCTTTTTATAAAAAATAATTATTAAAAAAAATAGTTTATAAAAATCTCTTTTCTTAAAAATGGAACAATAATTCCCATTGATAATTTAATCACGAAATATTCAAGTCATTCCAGAATTTGAAAAATATTAAAAGCAAAGATGATTTTTTTAAAAATAATTTTGATTTTATCTTGAAAGATTTTTTATATGCATGAAAATTTACAAGAGATTTATTTATAGTAGATTTTTTTTAAAGAAGAAAGGAATGAAAGAATTTACCGTATCGAGTAATATATTCAGTCTGTTCCTTCAGCTCTTGATATATTGCTTTTTGTAAGTTATTTATGTCTTGGGGATTGGCAACTTAAAATCAATTATTAAAAATAATTATTTAATATCGAAAATGAATATATACTCACGTTGAGAATTTACCGAATGAGTCACGACAAGAGTTACAAAGATTAGACAAAGGATTTTATAGCTACTCATTATAAAAGAATTATTTTTTCTTTATACAGTAATATAAAATGTAATTATTATTTCTATTTTTTTCCAAAATTCCATATTTTATATATCTTTTTATATGACCCTTATAAAAATTGAGAAAAAAAATTTTCAAGAAAATGGTGTCAATATATCAAAAGTTTACATGTTTTGTAGAAAAATTCAAAAAATTTAAAGATAATTGAGAAGATTAAATCGTATCAAAGCATTTTTTTTAAATGTTTATTTATGGCAAATTTGAAATATGTGATATATTTTGATGTTTCATTAATTATAAATGTTCATGGACAAATAAAACCTCTTTACTTAAAAAAAAATGCAAATAATGTTACACTTGTTTGGAAGAAAAATAAATATTTCTTTGATTTGATAAAAATATTTTGCATTTTGTCGAAAAAGCATAAATCTTAATTTGGTAATTGGACATAAAAATTTAAAAATCTTATTTATATTTTAAGATTGTTTATCATCTCAAAACGTAAAATAAGATTGAAAAAGTTAAAAGTATATAGACTTTTTACTCACCCGTAGGAAGGCGTTTGTTTTTTTTATAAGTAAACATTTCGGTAAGTATTTATTAAAAATAAAAATATACCCCCATTTTTTTTGGTATAAAATAATCTTAAACAATATCTGGCTAATTACCAAGAAGGGGGGGGGGGTTTGACGCAGAATCGCCTTTGAAATTAAATGGAGTTATGGAGGATAAGATGGAGTATTTGAATTTTTTTCTTCTTAATTTGGAGATTTGGTAGGAGGTAGGAGGGGGTGAGGGTAATATCGTATTTGGATTAGGGGGGTCTAGAAATCCTCGTCGGAAGTCAATTTATGGAATAGTTGAAGTGCATTTAAAGTTGTGGATTTATCAAGGGTTGGATCATAATGGTTCTGATGTTAAAGGGGATAATCTTGGATTTGTTGATTCAACACACTAACAGGGGTATATTTAGACCTGTGTGCCGTCGGTCAAATATGCCAGTGATTTTGACCACGATGACGCCGCCCTAAAAAAGTGCCGGCACTCAACACACCGCCGCCGATGTAAAAATAGGCGGCGTGGCCGTGATACACATTTTTTTTATTAATATTTATTTTATATATTATTTATGAATTGTAATTAGAAGAAAAATAATATTAAATATTTTTTAAATTATTAAAAATGCGATTTTAATTTTATTAATAAATATTATTTGCTATAAAAACATTTGATTTGTAACAAGATGATATGTTATTATTAGGCTAGTAATTTACAGAAAAGATATTGAAATATTATTATATATTTTATTATTTTAATTTTTGATGTTTCAAATCTTTTGTATAAGACCATCAATTAGTATATAAGGCGTAATACAATATTTTCTTATGTAATCTAAAACTCATCATATAATAAAAAATTTTTATTATAAAAGGAAATTTTAATGATTTTTATTTTATTGTCATTATATCATATATAAACATAGCAGGACTAAAACAATAATGGATGCAACATTGCAATACCCTAACATAAGATTATTGCAGCAAAACCTTCTTTTGCATTGAAACATTTTGGATCCTTAATATTAGAAATTGACACAAATAATAAGAGAACCATTGTTGCTGCACATAAAATCTTTTGTAATATATGTGCAAATAGCACTTGATAAAGATGAGGATAAAAATAATTACTCATTTTCAGAGTAATATTTTTGATTATTTTTAAAATATTTGTGAATTTTTTTAATTAGTTATCCAATCAAATCTTTTTCGAGTCCTGTGCGTTCCAGCTATGAGCACCCACTGCGAGCGTGTATTTTCCATAGCTGGGGTGAACTCTAAAAGATCATCATTTTGTCCTATAAATCTAAATAAAATAATATTTATACAATGATAACTTAATAAAATCGTTAAATTATAGTTATAAACATGCATAAATTTCATTTTAAAAGTGTTTCCAATGAATTTTTAATTTTAATTAAAAAATTTAAGTTAGGAAAATATTTGACGCCGTCACCGATTTTAGTGGCGGCGTCTAAATCGATTCCACGCCTCCAGCCGATCGTTTTAAGAAATACCGCGGCCGATAATGCTATTGGGGCACATGTCTAGATATTGAAATCAATTAAGTAAACAAGATAAAATGGCGTCCGATAGTAATCTAATACTAATTACTAACCGTATTAGATAACACAGGCCTCAGCATGTAATAGTATTTATAGTTATATAGTCCTTTTGTCATTTACAATGATTCGGATTTTATATTATTTTTAAATAAATTTTTAAGAACCGACATTCTATTTATATTTATTAATTTGATTTTATGAACCGGTTCCTATGAATTGTTTGCTTCGAATTAACAACTAAATTGTAAGACATTGCAAAAATTCAACAACCGGTTTGAGTGAACCATCGCCAGCCCAGCGCAGATTGTTTCTAATAAAATCATTGGCCTCAACATGCAAATAAGAGTCCAAAATATTCTAACGTGCTAAGCTTCTAACATAAAGCATGGGGTTGAATTGATTCTGATATACAATTTTAAATTGTAACATAGAAATGATAAAGTGAGCGACCTGTTTTTTTGGGCCATATCTGGCTGCCAACTTCTTTCCCCATAAGCAAATATTATAGAATATCATCAGATATAAACTAGAGCTAAAATATTTAGGCCTTTTAAATGAGTACTGTTTTTTAGATTAAATTTGATATAGAGCCACCATCATTCTTAAATAGACAGCATAATTATCTATGACAATTAAGTCATACGGAGTTTTGATCTCCTCTCAGCTGTTTTTTTATATGTTCCACTTTTCACCTCACCTAAAGTTGTATAACTTACTGCAAATAGATTATATTCCTTTAATATAGTTTAAAATGTCTTATAATATCAGGGAGACACCTTAAAATTAAAATTCAACTTTTTTTCAACAGCCTGAGATGTTTTAATAACATATAAAGGGAAAATTAAGTGGCATTCCACTAAGAGAGTGTGGGGGACCAAAAATGATATGACTTATTCATACGATACCGGTATGAACCGCGATCAGGATAGGTAGTAACTTGGACTCTCAATGAGGTGGGCCATTAAACCGGTATATAATAAAATACAATATATTTGTTAAAATGCTTATGATGTTGTTGAATATTTAGGACAAATATATCTTTTAAATATAGAAGTATTTAAAAAGAATATTTTATTTTGTGGCAACAATTATTAAATTTATAAGATGGCCTTTAGATAGTAAAATTCAACCACCAATAAAATGAAAAAAATAAACCACATATGTGATCTTGGACAGATGAATTGATAAAAACATGGAATTTGTATATGAGGGTGAGCGTGAAATCCTTTCTTATTTGGATAGAATTCAAATTTATGTGTTTGTTAAAAGTAAAAGTAATATTAATTTACTCTGACTTTATCTAATCTGATGTAAATTTTATAGAAAAATTAAATTAACAGATGCATTACATTGGCAGTTTTTTTAATTCTAGTTGTTACTGTCAGAAATTTCACTTATAATATTATTCTTTCATTTAACTAAAAAATAAAGATGGCATGTGCATAAAAGGCTATGTCATTATTTTAATTCCTAATCCTTTAAAATATATTACACACTTTATTAATAAAATAAATTTTAAGCATAATTATATATATATATATATCCACTTTATAACCTAAAAATATCACTAATAAAAAAATATGAAATATATTTGTCCCATATGATAATATCGGAGAGAATGAAATTACATGATATATTAGACTGCAAAACAAGTAAATACACATTTATAAAAGTAATATAACATTAACAAATAGCATGACTTTTTATTAAATTTATCATAAAACATAATACCAAAATTTAACTAGTTACAAGCTAATTTTTCAAAATATAACTCGTTACAGTTAGAGTTGTTCAAAAAGGTAATTAGATATATAATATATATATGTAATGAAAAGGCATTCACAAGGAGAGAGGCTAAGCTACGAATAACCTAGATGTATAGTGCAGATTGTATTTATATTAATAATCTCCTGTGTGTTGAAATCACTGGATTTGTACTCGGGACTATGAGATGCCAATCTGAGCATAAAATTCTAAATCTATCTTGACTTTAAAAAATAATTTTTAAACCTTATGTATAGCATTTTATCTTGCGAAATATTTTTAGTGTAATGAAAAATAATGTTTTATTTTATAAAACATAAATTTATGTAATCAATATTATACCAACATAACATAACATAGATATAATATCTAGTTGAGTTAACATAACTATCACGTTTTATATAAAATAAATAAAATGCAAATAAAGTGTCTGTAGAAATATAATTAGCGGTAATTTGAATATAGAGCGATATCATTCGAAGTAATTCCAAGCTTGAAATATTTTACTGATTTAAAATGGTCAGGGGTTGAGTTATTGTTTAACAGTTTGGTGTAGGAAAGGGGGACTAGCCCCCGTAGCCACACAATATCTCTGGAATGATTCAAGTTTACACATGATACTTTGCATGTGTGATATATATCGAATTTATTAATTAAACAACAATTTTATTATCTAATTTTTTCAAATAATTTTGAAATCAGTAATGAAAAATTTAAGCCGCAAAATATCCCAAGAACTAAAAAGAAAGAAGTCATCATTCCAGCTAAAGGGGCTCTGTGAGGTTCGACTAATCTATTTTATATAGAAAACAGATATATTAAATATGTAAAAATAAATATTTATATGATATTATAAAATTAAAAGATTAAGTAAATTTCTAATATTTCGATTTAATCGGGGATCGCATATAAGATATCCAGAATGTATATAATATTAAACTATCTGACCAAGTTCACTCCTAGTAGTAGTAGTATAGAAAAATGTTTTTACCAAGTTTGTTATTTGATTTATTTTTTTTCCCCCGAATTTAAATAGGACTAATTCAAAATTGAGCATTAAATTAATTGGGGAAAAGGCACAAGCTTTTCTATCTTCAAAAATCAGCTAAAAATATGAATGTATATTAAATTTAAGCAATCTTTTTCTACCATTTTACTTTTGCTCAAGACTAAATAAATTATAAATGTATTAGCTTAAATGGGTGCTAATATATTTTTTTTAAAAAATAGGATGCTTCATTTTTCAAAATTGGCAAAACACTTAGTTATCTATAACCAATTACAAAACTTATCAATTAGTGACCCCATTACTTTTATCTGTATGAACAGAATCGAACTTCAACTTACAGAATTTATAAAGTAAAAATAAAAATATGCATGATGAAATTTAAAATTGTTAAGATAACCGCCTTACCTCGGAGCGTACATCATAGTCAAGGAACTAAAATAGCCACTGGTAACTGCTAGCAAAGTACCCAGCAAAACATAAACATAGTCATTTTTGATCAAAACCGGTAATTTTCTAATGTCTGGACGGTAATTGCAAAATAGAAACAAGGGTATAAAAAGAGCTCTCAGGAGGATGGGTAACCAGACCCATTTGGGACCTGGCTTGAGTAAGTTTTTATAAGAGTGAAATTTATTTGTTAAATAACATAACCAATAATGTAAAATATTGTTATTAAATATTATCTCAATTTAATAATAGATAATACATACGCTGTTTTATAGTCAGGGCTTAACAAAAATTGTCTTATAAGATATTTGGCAATCAACAAAATTGAAGATTTTATCAGAAAGAATATTTATGCATGAAAGTCACATTTACTTATAAAATATATTTTTACAAAAAAATTTTTGAAATTTAGGAAAAATTTGTTCAAAAATTTGCTTAAGCTTCTTTTTTTTTTAAAAAAAAAACTTCCTTATTTTTGATCTTTAGAAAATAAATTGTTTTTAAAGATTTTTTAATTTTAAGCAGTTTGTGTGACCCTGTTTATTTGGGAATCGTTAAACCCATCACTGTAAAATTAAAGTACTACAAGGAAATATTCGCTGTGAACTCGGATTGGTAGTAGTGGATCTCGAAAAAAATAATTAAATAGTTAAGACACAGGATTCTTTCTAACCCCAATATCAAATAGTTCGTCAATATAAATTTAACTGCAAGTCAAATATTCAAAAAAAATTAAAAATAAATATGTTTGAAAGATTATTTGATTATGGAATAATAGAAAATAGTTAATTTTTAAGCATTTTTGAATATGAACTGGGATCAGAAGGTTGAGTTAGAAACACGGACTGTGAAGAACACATCAAGATATTTAGCTCCGGATTAAAATCTATTTCTCCATCAGATAGCTTAGCAAAAGAGAAGGGTTTAAAAGTTTAAAATGATATGGGGTTAGGATTATTACATGAGAAATTTGCAGGTCCGATAACGAAACCCAGCCTGGAATGGAAAGGGCCATCAAATGTCAAGTTTTAAAAATACGGGCCTGGCGTAAGAATAAAAATATTACAACCCCAGGCCGAACGGGGCCTATATTTTTTTTTACAAAGTCTAGCTAGCTTAGTCCTCGTATTTAAAAAATATTTATTAAAGCGATCCTTTAACATTTTATTTACATCCTATCTTCAATTTTTTTGAAACAATTTGCAAAATATAAAGCTAAAATTATTCAAACAATTGCTCAATTTTGCAAATGATCGGACCTTAAAATGTTTACTGGGCTTGAAACCTTGATCTCTGTAGGTTATTTTCTGTATATTTAAAAATGATTTAATAAAATTTCTATATGGAGTAGGAAGGAAGCCAAAAAAGAACATCAATGATTATTAAATATCTTATTTCAAGTATAATTTTTTTTTTAGTTTTTCTTTGGTTTTTATTTTTATTTTTTTTTTACTATAGTTATATAAGTTTTATTTTATATTTAATTTAATGTATAAATTTTTTAGGAATTAATTTGTTTTGTTTTAATATTGGTCTACTTATTTTCTTTTATAGCTTTTATTTTAAAGTTACACTTTTATTTTTTATTTTTATTGGTTTTGGTTCTATTATGTAGCGCATTTTTGTTTCTTTTTTAAAATAGATGGCCTCTAACTTATTTTTTTTATATTCTATTATTTTTTTTGGTACTCTATTAATTGTTAGCCCCTAGGAAGCTCGGTATAATAGTACTATCATATTAATAAAGGTCAATTAATAAATATATTATACCTTTTTAATTTTTTCGCTTATCACATTACCTATCAACGAAAATGTGGTGAAATTTAGGAACGTTGTAATGGCTTCAAAATATTTATCTAAATATACAAATTTCAATATAGTAAGAAAACAGTTTTTATTAAAAATTTAATATCCCTTCTAAACTTAATTTGCTTCGAAAATCATAATTAAATAAATATTCCAGATTTAGAGCATATATGTGGGGGACTTTGTATGTAACATGTGACTACTAACGAGTTTGGGAGGATATTTTCAAATAAATATGCATTGAACTAGCTAACGTAATTAGTCCGCAATTTTAAGATTACGAAAATCTACCTCACAATTTTTCTACTTATTACTTCTATAATCTTAAAATATCTTAAACAATAAATATAAAATACTTATTAAATAAGATAATATTTGTTCTAATTTCTAGTACCTTTCTTTACTTTCCTCATTATTTTTATCGATATCTGGTTTTTACAGTTTCTAAATTATTTAAAATATAATACAATTACAGAAACTTCTACCATAGAGGGGGGGGAGTGGAGAACAAGATCGTCAATGAAACTAAAGGGTGGTAGGGGGTGGGGTAGAAGTATATAGGTAATTTTGATTTTGGTATTGTGTAGTAGGGAACAGAGGGTAATATCGTCATTGGCTGGGAATTAGAGGGGGGGATAAAGGCCCATAATTAATATCTTATTTTGAAATAGTAGAATCAAATTTACAAAACATAATTATTCTAAGAATAGATTTAAATAAAAAGTATGAATTAAACATTCATAGCAAATAATATATTAATTAACACTATTTTTATATAGTATGATAGAAATGATAAATTTGTTAAGTAATAAAATAAAAAATAAATATTTAGATAAACGGAAATCTTCAAAATACGTGATAATAGGCTGTGGTATATCAAGGATCGAACAAAGGCATTTTTGCGTTTCTTTTCCTTTCCCATTCCGGATAAAAATATGTTCTCTTCCAGTTCCCATAAGTATAGCTAAGGAAGGGGGGGCTTTCCTTCACTTTACAAATTTGCCTGTTCTCATAAATATCACCTTAAGCTACTAAAACCCCCTCCCCCCCCTACCCCATATTTTTCCATATATAAAAATATATAACTTTAAACAATAATTTGAAAGAAAAAAGATTAATAATTTTTCAATTAATTACTATAATTAAAATTTTTAGGAAAAGCATTTTTATAAAAAAAGAAAAGACAAACTAAGATTATTTTTATAAAAATGTAACATAGTCAAAAGCTAACAATAAGTGGACTTAAAAACCTCCAATAAAATTTATGAGAACAGCCTCATTTAATACTGCTTACCGCTCCTATATCTAATTTTGTCTATTTTAGTATATATTAAATTCATTAAATACAATATTCTCCAACAATTATTGTTTATATGGAGGCGGCGGTGTTAACATAAATTTAATTATCAAAAATAACCTTTTAACGATAACTTAAAGCAAAATTATCTATTAAGCTTTATGGATTAAAGAAAAAAACGATTATTTATGAAGGAGCCATTATAAATATTATATATATGATAATATGCAATAAATTAAAATATTGCATGTTCATTTATAGAACGTTATGAAACTGTTCCAGAATACGGAATACAGTTTCCATTCCGTCTTTGTATCATAATTTTCCTCAGGGTTTCCGGAAAGTTTTTAAAACGTTTCAACTAATATGAAGTTAGAATTAGAAGATGTCACGCTCATCAAGATCGGGTCAATGATGAATAAACCATATATGTCGTGATTAATAATAGACAATTTATGAGTACACATAATCAAAACTTATATCTAATTAGAAGGAAACTAAAATAACCGACCATTTTATATAAGAAGCCGATTTATTTCTGAAATACTTTAAAGTACTTTGAGGGGAAACAATATGAGTTGAATAATCTCAATTGTAATCGCCCTAACATTAAAACACTAAAAGATAAAACAATTGACGGGTTTTTCATTTAATAGTTATTAAAATTTTCAAACACGAATTTAGATATCCTATTGGCTCTTGTTATATCTATTTTTTTATAAAGATTTGCAGAAATAGAAATGAAGGATGCGGAAAAAAAATCGGGGGACCCGATTATCTAATTATGACAAATGCCCTTGTCTAATTCTAATGCAAAAGCCTTTCCAGAGCTCATTATGAATAAGTAGTATAAGTAGAACTCAATTTTATTTAAGGGATAGATAAAGTGGGGCAAAAATAAATGTTAGACTGATATTAAACATTAAAGGGCGAATTAACTTTCTTTTATAATTCGTATTTTTGATTAGTATATAGTAAACAGATAAATTAAATAATTAAATTTTAAGATTTACACGCTTTTTAGAAGTTAAAATACCATATTACAATCATAAATTAAATTACTAAATTGAATCATTTTGAAATCATTTTTAAAGTGAAATAATTGTGGAATTTCAAATATTATAATCTCTTTTTTTCTTCTTTTTTTTAAACAAAAAAAAATAACATGATGAAAACCTGGTATAAAGAAATTTGGGTCGCTTTTAACGATATGGACTTTGATAGCAGGAAATATAGTTAAGGTGATGAAGAAGCTAAAAAAGACTCCGAAGCATTGTAACCATATCTTAAAAAATAAAGAATAAGTGATATTCAAGGAGAGCTTTGCAAATTTAATTTTTTCGGTCCGAGCCGGGTCTTCTTTCTTTCTTCCTTCCTTTCTTCCTTCCTTCCTTCCTTCCTTCCTTCCTTCCTTCCTTCCTTCCTTCCTTCCTTCCTTCCTTCCTTCCTTCCTTCCTTCCTTCCTTCCTTCCTTCCTTCCTTCCTTCCTTCCTTCCTTCAAAATAATTTCAATTAACATTTTATTTTAATGAAGAAAAAACTTAAATTTCTATTTTATTTTTTTAATATATTATTTCAGTCGATTCTGGCCCGTAACTTTTAATCATTTTTTGAGCACATTTTTTTAAAATTTATAAATTTGATTTTACTGGAATGTATTCCAGCATGTATAGAATACTTATCTTTTGAATTGTACATAATTTTATCGTTAACTTTGGAGTCATATATAATTTATATAAAAAATCCATAAAGAAAAATAATATATATAATATTAAGTTCAAATGTTTAAGGCAAAATTATCTGGAATTCATATGGTAAGTATTCCAATGGAATATATTTCTTGTAAAATTTGATTTTTAAATTTTAAAAAATCTAAAGTTGAAAAAATAACAAATTGCCTGAAAAAACATTGCCGCTAACATATATATTTATATACCTTTTGGAATACGGAGTAATAATCGCTAGATTTGTATTTGCTGGTTATTGTATCCTTTATAAATCCATTCTGCTCGGATTTTGCCGGGGTGCGTAAATAATACCTATAAAATTTCTATATTATTTATGGTAATATTTTAATTTTTTAAAATTGTATGAAAGATATAATAAGAAAAGAATAAAAGGAAAATGTAAAAAAAAATATTTTTTTTAAAAAAGGTAAGTTGAATTCTTATAGTTTTTAAAATATTACTTCCCCCTCACCCGCTACATATCGCCCGCTCCTCCTTCAATCCCTTTGATCAAAGGCTTTCTCATTCCACATGATCGAAGACCTCTCCATTTAACAAAGGTAAATTCTATTTCCGTTGCCTCTTCCTCTGATACGACTGTAGGGCACCACGTTTCTCTTTCTCCAGCTAAAGTCAATGGCCATAGGCCATCCAATTTCCCCCAGTTAAAACCCGTGCAAGAACGAGGCTCTTAAAAATTATTAGCTTTTTGTAGACTATTTTTATAGTAAAATACTAATAAGTTACTTATTTTGTGCACCTCCGTTTTTTGTTTTTTTTAGACCATTAAATTTTTTTTAATGCCTTCATTGCTTTTTTTATTAATTCTTATTTTCTTTGTAATGGAAAATTTGCATAAAGTATTTTATATTTTACGTTTGAGTGGCGCTTTAAAAACGAATATAACTATACAAAATATCGAAACTATTATTTTCTGTTTTATCATTGGGGAACCGCGATATCTGAACAGAGATCCCACGAGATTGGCAATATTGGCAATTCAAGAATAAAGAAAAATATCATTTTCCCTACTTATTGAAAAACTAATTTTTATGTAAAAAAAATATTCCCACATATTTTTAATTTTCAAATATTTATTTTTATTTATATAACATATTAAATTCGTTTTCAACAGATAACAAGTTTATGCCTCCTGTCTGTCCTCGGTTTCAAATTTTTTTCATATTTTTTTTAAACTCTTAATTTCAGGGCAGGAGACCAAGTTAAAAAATTTATTTTAATTGCCCATTAGGTGATTTATGGTCAATTTTTTGGGAAGTTCTAATTCCATTCCTTTATGCCCTTTATCTTAATTTTGATTGATGTGTTTACTAACTCGTTGATTTCGTTTTACATTTTTTTTAATATTTTGATTTAATTGTCTAAAAGGTCGATTTCTAAAAAAATTTAGTCCTACAGAAATCGAATAGTAGATGGCTCAACAGCTTCCCACTTGCCGATTTAACATAAATCTATTTAAATCTTTTATTATTTTCTTACTCGAAATGATTTTACCGATCAAATTTAAAACCATCTATAATGAAAACCGAAATAAATAATGATTTCCTTATTTAGATTTGAGCTCTGCAAAAATCTTATATATATTTTACCACTTTTTCGCCTCAAAAATAAATTTTTATACCCCACTCTGGTCTAAATTATATTTATAGTTATTAGCTGCACTAACCTTATACAAATTTAAACCTTTTTTTTATATTGTGAAATCAAATATAATCATAAAGTCCGTTTCCTAATCCCAGAGAAATTTTAATTCATCATTTCACGTAATAAAAAACAGGGGAAAAATTATTTTTTTTATTTACTGTGTTTATCTTATAAGAATTTTGGTAAAGGGATTTTAGCCTCATAAATACTAATTTATATTTGTTTAACAATCAAACAAATATAACATTCATAAAAAACCTTTTGAAAAAAATCAAGTTAATTATACAATAGGTGTCCTCTCAAAATTTATTTCACAAAAATTACCCCTCGTTTGTGTTTTTTTATTATAATTCCATAGCTTCAAATACTGACTCATTGTAATTACTGTTGTAAATACCTGTTAATAAAGAGTCATATAATCTTTGTAAAATATAGGTTGAGAGAACGAAAGATAAAGAAAATATGGTTAAGTTGATGTGTATATATTTTTTTAAATTATCGATGCCAGGTATCTACTTGATCGGCCCGATATCAGTCAGTATCCAGGTATCGGTGCTATGTAGCCATTTCCGGCCTGATATCCATCAGTATTTGTGGATAGGTACCAGAAAAAGGCGGTATCAGTGTATTTCTGCTATATTGTATAATAATACAAAATAATATCAGTAGTTCAAAATATAATTTACTAAACGAAGAAGAACGAAATACGAAACAAGGCAGACTAGAAGTATCAATATTGCCGATATAAAGTACCATATAGCCGCCAATCTTGGACTGGGAGATGCATATATCACTATTATATAAACTATAGCAACTAGAGTTCCACAAACATTATCTCCTATAGTTATGACATTCGTGTATTTCATTGGTAGACTTCCCGCTAAACCATAGATTGAGCTTTGATAAATTCCTGTAGCACAGTTCACGATAACCACAGTAATCATGGTTAACACAAAAAATATTTTTGACCAAGTTGATGTATCCATAAAAGCTAATACAACGGTGAATATGCACATAAGTATATCAATAATTATCGCGATGGGTATTCTTGGTTGTGTTTGGTAAGCTTTCTGGTTTTTATCCTTTTTGAAGGATCCGCCAAATTGAAGGAATAAATTCATTCCATTTAAAATAACATTTGGCAATTGAGATGTTATTCCTAGATAACTAATAAAATTATTCTTATATTCTTGAGTGCCAGTAACATTTGGATTCAATTTGTATTCTACAAAATACTAAAAAAAATTGATCTTTTCTCAAATAAATTTATTTACCGAATTTGCATTAATGAACATATTCCATGGAATAAGTACCCCAATACCATGTAGCAGCATAATAATATAAAGTAAATTCAATCTATCATAATGTTTATGCCAAACTTAATTTGTTTAATCATATTTCAACCTGTCGCTAGGTCCTTTAAGAGGGGAAGGGTCAATCTGAAGCCTTACCTCTTGGCTTGAATGTTCATTGTCAAATTGTGCGCATTCAATAAATGATTCATCTTTTTCCCTCATTTTCAACAGGAGAATATAGGCAAACGAATAAATATTTCGAAGAATTCCTTTAAAAAGCGAATTTTATCTATCCTTTAAAATGGGAATTATAATTTTTCTTGTTTTGATTCTATATATGCTTTAAATTTCAAAAAGGAGTCAATAACCGCAGGGTGTGAGAAATTATTTTTATTTTTTGAATTATTATAATTATTTTATTTTCGAAAAATAATTTCAATTTCAACTTCTTTTTTTGATGATATGTAATTGATATAAGGACAAAGACAAAATTCCTTTTTTTGATGATATGTAATTGATATAAGGACAAAGACAAAATTCAAATTCCCATGATTTCGATAAAATTGGGGGAGGAGATATAAAAAGATTTTTTAAAAAAAACTATGACGACATTTTTCTTGTTCTTCATTTTTAAATTTTTAAGTATATAAGGTTTTGGCAGAATTTCAGATAAAATAATAAATGAATAGATGAACTTCATCGTTTGATTATTGGTTATGGCAAGTTTATAAAATAATGGGTTATTTTAACTAATAATATTTCGTAAGCTGAGTATAATATTGTTATATGTATATTTTTTTTTCTAAAATGGATTTTCTATCATTCCTTCATTCTGAATGAATTCATAGTTAGCTTTTCGCGAAGAAAGTTTCTAAAATATGCTATAATTTTGTATTCTTAGCCGCGAATTTGCGTCTACTTTGAAAGCAAGATCAGTAATTTATTCTTCCATATCACCAATAAAAATGTTAATCCTTTATTCCCCTTATTATGGTGTGTTCTCCTATCTACAAGAAATATTTTTTTTTAAATCCTCGCCTGAAAAATTTAAAAAAATGAATATAGAACACTATGATACTCAGCTGACTCTATTAAAATATTAAAATTTTTTAAAAAGAGTTTTATTTTTACTTCAATTCTGATTGGAAAAAATATGAATATATCATGGAGGATGGGTTTTAATTCTCATTATAGATATATGGATTCTAGGTAATATTATATTTTAAAAAAATGGGTGCATTATTGTAATTTTAGTTTAATAAAATTTGGATTAATAAACCTTCTGACTAAAAATGATTAAAAATTACAAATATTGTCTTGCTAATGTGAACATCGTTTAAATAAATGCGTGCGTGTATTGGTAAAGTTAGTTTTAAAAAAAATTAAAAAACATTTTATATATTTTTCTTACAAAATTTTTGATAATAGATGGAGCATTGTTGCCAAAAGTCGGTATAGATGACTAAAGTAATAAACAGGACCTGAGGATATATATGTTTTTCGAAATTACAACTATACGTTATTGACAGACTATATCAACACAACGCTTAAAGTTATGGGTGAAGCTAGAGAAATAATCTGAAACTCTCTCTAGTACAAAATCCAACATTGTGCCTCTTTTTGGACTTTCGCAGATTGTTTTCAGGATATAAATTCGAAAGTTTACTTAATTACACAGGTGAGATGGGTGGCTCTACCGGAGATTATTAAGAATACTCTTGAGAGGGCCATAGAATTTGAAATTCAGCGTTTAGTCGCCCAAAAATATTGTGAAAATATAGACCCACATAAAAAGTATGTTTAATAGGTTACCCCTATAGTAAATGGCAGGTAAATTAATGGACAAGTCAATATTCATGCATGCAGATTTTAAGGTCATGCTAAATCCAGTCTTACAATTCTCACCATCTTATTACAAACATTTGACAATATGTGATGATAAATATCATAGGTGGAGAAGTTCAATCTCAAAGATGTTTATATGCAGCTCCCAATTGATCCGGAGCCTAAGAAATAGTTCACTATTTTTATACACATAAGAAATTTTTAATATTTAAGGATCCACTTTGACTTATCCTTTGAATATACTGTATTTCGATACATAAAAAAATTATATGAGGATGTCTTATGACCGGTACTTATCTTGATTAACTTATGATCAAGGTTAATATGATAGTGATAATATAGAAATCTCATCAGGGTTTTGTCGAAATTACATGACGTAGACCTATAGGTAAAATTAGGCAAGTTGGGTTCTTTAAAAATAGGTCACGTATTTAGGGTTTGCGGTAAATCGGGAACTCCCCCAACTCAAGAAAATGTATTAGCTTCTTTTAAAGGCTTCACCTTCGAAAGGTAAGCAATACGATATTATTTAGAGTTGGTTAATTACCATGATTTATTTCAAAATTACACGGAATATCCCTTACATTGATTAACTATAGCTCAAAAGTGTCATTGAATGTTCACACACCAAAAATATCTCATTTCATGATTCTTTTAATATTAGGTTTGGTGCTCTTTTGCATTATTTGAAAAAGGTACCAAAATATAAATTTCTCTCTTTAAAGCACAAAGTCATAAGATATAATACATACATACATATATATATATATGTATATACAATAAATTTGAATAATGATTAATAATACAAGGTTTCTTTAACTCTCTATATTTGAATGTGCAAATTAAATTGATATATGAATAGTTCAAATTGAATATATTAAAGAGTTAAATATTTATATGAAAGAAGTAAAAGTAACTTATAAATACTATCTAACGACCTAATATAGAATTAAACATTATTTAATAATTAATATTCTATTATATAACATTGATCAACGGTAAAAAAATTGTATAACATCAGAAAATATGTAGACGCAAGTGACGGCATTAGAATTAACACACAAGAATAACAGATGGAGACACCATATATGAAGCTAGTGTTGTTAAATTACTTAACTTTGGCCTCCTCCAAAATTGCTTAATTAAGTTTTTATTCTAAAATATTTATCTTTATCTTCAAACCTAGATTAAGTCATTTTTAGGCTAATAGTTTGTTTCAGTAGAGTAAGCCAAATTTAGGTAACTTAACCACATTATGTGAACTATCACCTGTTATCATAAAGGGAGCGTTATCGGTAATACCCCAAAAGGTGCTTTATTAGATCAAGAAAAGTTACGAAAGACTAAGATAAGAATAGTACGCTTGAAAGTAGGAAAATATGATAAACGATGGTTTTAAATAAATAACATAATTTTGGGATATATAACACTTGTCAATCCTATATGATGTTATATTATTGTTATTAAACTATTAACGTAAATTGAACTGTTTAATCGATCGCTCATAACTGTGCTTGCTTAGCCAACGTGCAAATTATAAATATGTTTTGTTTATGGTATCTTATAATGTAAATTAACTTTTGTAACTCTCATTCTTAATCCAAACTAACCGTTAATGCGGCTAGCAAACTTGCTCTAGTAATAAAGTTGTACTAAACGAGAGTTGAACCTATGTCAATTAGCTTAATAATTTTTTCGGTCCTACGTGATACAATTAGGCATCGTTTATTGTAAGTACGATATAGCTCCATCGCTAAAGATGGCACAAATAATCTAGCTATCTATTTTGTAAATTATCATCGTTTTTGCGACATGGTTATTTCACGCTTATTATAAATAAAACCTTAGTAAGTAAATCATCATAAGACTACTCTTAGCTCACAACAGGTCTTAGCATAAACCACGTAGAAATTTATACCTTGGTTAATTGGTATTTTTTCCTAAGATTACCCAGGCATAGAAAATTGTTTTTATTTTTCTTTTTAAAAAAAAACACTTAATTAAGCTACCTTAGCATAATCATCTATACTACTAGTAGATAAACTTAGCATTAGCCTATACCTAGTATTTGTTATATTTATTCAGATAATATATCTTTATTAATATTGTATTTATTTATCAATATTCTGCCTGATAGCATTTCCTTTTTTTGGTCAATCAAATTTAATTATTAAAATATTGAGAAAAATAAATGATGCATAAGTTTTAATGGACCCCTGTGAAATTCATATCCCCGGTTGTGGTGCATTATCTGCATCCTGGTGTTATATAAATATAAATACGCAAATAAATAATGTCTGTAAAAATGAAATTTACAATAATACGAAAGTTTTAAATGATATTATACAGATATGAAATGATATACTTCAAGTTTATAAATTATGTACTCTACACACATTTGAATTGATACTGCAAAACTATAAAATGATATTTTACAATGTATATTATAAATATTTTCAAAACAATAATAAAAACACCATTCAAATTTATAAATTTCTTGTAAATAATTTTGAAATAAGCAGCGCAAAATTTAAGCCGCCAAATACACCAAGTATCAAAAAAAAGGCACCCATCATTCCTGCCAATGGCGCTCTATTAGGCTCAACCAAACTATTTCGTATAGAAAACAATATCATGTAAGTAAAAATAAAAATAAGAGATTAGTAAATGTATAATACTCTATTAAAGAGATGATTTACATATAAGATATATCAAAAATTTTATTGAGTTATCTGACCCAAGTTCGCTTGTTTTTTTGCAGTCGTAAATTAATCTAAACCTGGTTCAGATGCAAACTTTGGTCAATTTACAAAATTCGTAATGTAAAATAATACACACGAAATTTAAATAATTAATAATCTTAGCTTATTACCTAGGGGCGTACATCATAGTCAGGGAACTGAAATAACCATGAGTAACCGATAACACAATTCCGAGTAGGGCATAAACATAATCATTTTTGATCCAAACCGGAAATTTCCTAATGTCGGGACGATAATTGCAAAATAGGAACAGGGGTATAAAAACAGTTCTCAGGAGGATGGGTAACCAGACCCATTTAGGACTGGGCTTGAATAGTAAGTGATATTTTAAATTATTAAAAAATAATAATATTATGAAAAATTTATCTCACGCAACTGTTCGATGCGAAGGATTGGGTTGACTAGACCTTGATTTTAAAATTTTCATTCATTTTGAAAAATAAAAAAAAATAGTTCAGATAGAGGGTCCTAATATATATGTTTTAGGGTACAGTAAAATTTTTAACGTTTAAATCATTTATTAAAATCTTGATTCTGTGTCGCAATTATATTCCAGCATGTGTATAGTACCTACTCTATGAACGTCAGATAATTTAATAAAATTTTGAATTATTAATAAAATTTTGAATTAACTTAAAAAACATGCCCTATAAAATTTATCTGAAAGATTCTAGTGTACCCAAAATTCCAGTATGTTGATATTTACAGTGTTTTTCGTTTTCGAACCGAACAGAATCTCACATTTTGAGAGCGTAAAATATGTAAACAATTTTTTTTTCTATTTTATCATGGTTTCAATTAGAACATTATAGATAAACAAACTCCTATTTTTACCGTTTCTTTGAACATAATTCATTTTAAAATGATTATTTTTTAAAATTGAATTTATATTTTTTTTTACAGAGAGGGTATCTATACTTATAAATTCAAAAGAATTAAAAGTCAATTAAGGTAAGCAATTATTTGTATTTTTTAAAGAATCAGGTATTAGGTCACACTCAATTCTTTAAGAGGAATTTTTTTATAGGTAGAAAAAATAATTATTACTAAAATAGGGTGTCCAGTTTAAAAGCTGTTTAGTCTAGGATAAAAAGCAATTTACAGTAATAATATGATTTATTGTAACCTATTTTCATAATGTGAAAAAACATTCTTATATTTAAATAACTTTCCATAATTATTGTAAAAAACATTTTGATATAAATTAAATTTTTTAAAAGTTTTTAAACTTTAATGAAGACTAACATCAAAGTTATGAATCAAATAATTTTTTTTGGACGCAAGTTTAAGTGGAAAAATGATAATTCAAAAAAAAACTTTTTAATAATAAAGTTCTTAAACTTTAATGAAGACTAACGTCAAAGTTATGAATCGAATATAGTTTTTTTTATGTTTTGGACATAAGTTTAAGTTGAAAAATGAGAATTTTAAAAGATATTATATAAAAAAAATTTGATTTTTATAATACCTTTTTTAAATTTAAAGCATTATTCCAATATTTTTATTTTACTTTTAGTTATCCAAATATGGAAATCAGGATAAGAAATTTGAATAATTTCTTAAATAAACATGAGTGAAAACTCGAATTTAGGGTTTTCAGTTTCAAGTTTTTAAAAGTTTTTTTAAAAAAGGATGTATTTTTCTCAACAAGTTTTTACAATAATTACGGAAAGTTAAATTGAAGTGTCGGGGCTTCTGTTATGGGTAGAATGATTGGTGGCACATCTCGATGATTTTTGGTATGCGTTATTTTAGGTTAATAAAAGCAACTACAACAATTAAATTTTATTTAATTTTAAAACCAAAAAAAATATAAAAAAATAAGAATTATCTGAAAACCCTAAATTCGAATTTTCTTTCACTTATGTTTATTAAGAAATTATCAAATTTCTTATCCTGATTTCCATTCTTTAGATAACTAAAAGTAACATTAATATATTATAATAATACTTTAAATTTAAAAAAATTTACAATGCATTTTAAAAAAAAATTATTCTAAAAATCTTAGAAAATTTATATTCTTATTTTCCCACTTAAACTTGGGTCCAAAACATAAAAATATTCGATTCATAACTTTGACGTTAATCTTCATTAAAGTTTAAAAACTCTTATTATTAAAAAAATTAAAAATTAAGTCAAACCAGGACACAGTCTTAGGGAGTTAGGCTTGACTCAAAACCGATCTCAAATACAAAAACAACAATGATCTTGTCAAAACCGAAAAAAGGACCATGCATTCTGGTATGAGGTTAAGCGCTTTTCTATCCATGGCATGTGTCCTCCTGGTTTAGCAATTAGAATGCGTCCTATCTTTCGTGGTAGATGGGGAAGACCGTAAAGACAAAATATTTTTTTCCCAAAAATACGAATTTAAAAAATAAAAATGATTTCTATTATAAAATTATTGGAAGGGTAAAGTTAGGATGAAGACGAAATCGGCAAGAACCGCACATTCCATCTAAGGTATGGCTTCTTTGGGTCGTTTTTAAGAGGGATGTTTGACTCACATTATCTATTTTCCAATGTATCCACATAGTATAATATTATAATTTTTTTCATAATCCCCAATGAGGGTCAAAGATAAAAAAATATTTGTCAGATTGGGCTAAAAATTAATTAACTATTTGAGAAATCATATGATGGATTCAATGAAGGTCCATTCGCTTCATTTTTTTTATGAATTCATTTACAAAATAAATATTTTTTTTAAATAATTTGGTAAAAATTTTGATGGAAATAATTTATCATAATCAATTTTTTTTTATCACCGTCATGCTTAATCATAATATTTACGAATCAATTGAATAAATTATATTATTTACCATTTTAATTTTTTCGGTTATCAAATTACCTATCAATGAAAAGACATTGAAATTGAGGAAGGTCAAAATAGCGTCAAAGTATTTATCTGAATAATTAATATATTTTTTAAAAATATTTATTTTAAAAAAATATAAATATATCAACTCTTCATATTAAGGAAATAAGTAAAATAATATAATAATTAAGTTGTCATAAATCTTTAATTAATAAATTGTATCATTATAAATAATTTAATGTGATTATTTAGAATTAAAAACATTTTTTTAAAATCAAATTTAAAATCATTTAAAAAATTAATATGAAAGGTGTTTTTTGACACTGAAATTTATATTAACGCTACCGCAAACTTATATAATATTAAACTATAGAGAATGTCTAATGAATGCGATGCATACTAAAATATCTAATAAATAATAAAATTTGTTTAATTTATATTCTTTCAGGAACCAATTCCGGAACCTAACGTTTTAAAAGGGGAATGGACATATTTTATGTTACGGGACCCTACATTATTTACAAGTTTAGATGAAATTAATTAAAACAATATGTAACCGAAAGCATATCAATTATTGACTTACCTTAGTCCAAAAGTTAAGCAAAATCAGAACTTAGTTATGGCTCACTTTTATCATTTTTTTAAAAATTGAACTAGGTTTGATTATCGAAAAACATATTTCTCACAGAGATCACCACAAGCGACTCAGATCAGAGGTCTGCAATGCCCGGTCGTTACCAGGGCCTGAAAGTATTTTTTTGGGCCGAGCTGCTGGTAGGCGAAATTTTTGCATATATATTTATCAATTCTGATATTTCACATAAGTGATAATCCATAAAGTATATTGCTTTTAATTTAACCACTCCACAAGATTATAAATAATAGTTTATTTTAATGCTCAACAACATATATTTTAGTTTACGCCTTGTATATAAAAAATTAAATGGCCTGGTTAGTAAAAATGAAACTGGGCCGAGCCGGGTATGTATTAACTAGATGACCACTGGGCAGGATCGGGCCGAGCCTAAAAATTTTGCCATTTTCAGACTTCTAACTCACATACCGAAAAATTTAACTGCAGGAAGAAAATGAGTCTATATTATTATTATTATTATTTATACCTTTTATTTTCAAATTAATTTATTTTCTCAAAATTTTAAACAAGAAATTTTTTTTAAAGAGAATTCAAATAAAGTTTTCTATCGAACCTATTTTGCCCAGGCAGGTCATAATGTTGCTAAACGACCCGATTTAGGTCGATTTTTAAAAACGGCCCAATTAAGATTTTAGCCAAAATAATATTAAAGCTCTTTTTTTGGACTTCTATTTGCCAAATCTCGAGGATTACATAATATTTTATTGGATAAAATCCTTATTTGGTCGTTTTAAAAATCGATTGAAATCGGGCCGTTTAACAACACTGACTTCCGTCCTAACAAAACTTGGATTTTTATGTCCGATTATTTTAAAAATAAGACGCGAATCTACTAAAACTGTCATAACTTTCCCCATGGAAGGCTCTAATTACAAGTAAGAATTTCTTAAGACATATGGACGCTGCTAATACTTTTTGCAGCATAAAAAAAATTTTCTTTATTCTTTGAATAATAAATAAAAATGATTGAAATAAAGAAAAAATAAAACAAAACCTGGTATAAAAAAGTTCGAGTTCTTTCTTGCAATATGGACTTGAATAGCCGGAAATATAGTTAAGGTGATGAAGTAACAAAAAAATACTCCGAAACATTGTACCCATATCTTTAGATTTTTTTAAAAAGAGGTTACCTTATAAATTTGATAATGGCTGCGGTTCCGCAATGGTTTTGCAAAAATCTTAAATTTTTAAGTTATAAAAATTCTTCATTTAACTCCATAAGGAGAAATAAGTTGCTTCAGTTTTTAAGTGAACAAAAAATGGCCTTTAATTAAATGTTAAAATTTTTTTAAATGGCTACCACTTATATAAAATTATAACGGTTCCTGTTCTCTTGGTCCCGTTCATTTGTGTTCTGTTCTTTCTTTTAACTTTTATATTAAGAGAACAAATAGTTTTGCAGCATCTCTATTTAAAATATATTTTTATCAACCCCTACTAGAAACCAGATGCCATAAGGCTATAAAACGATGAAGTTAACAAACAATTATAAAATATTTTTGAATTTTATTAATTCGAATCTCTCCATATCATATATCCATACCTGTAAATAAAGTGCAACATATAGGAGCATATCTAAGATTTTGTTAATAGTGGTGGGGGGGTGGGGGTTAAAATATAAATCACATTACAATTCTTATTTATAAGTTAAAATAAAGTTCAAAAAAAACTTTGTGGAAATTTTTGGGAGGGCGAAATACCCTGTTGACACCCTCTAAATAGGCTACTCTGTTATCAAGTATAATGATATAATTTGATAATTGATTACTTTAATTTATGAATGCGTTCTTTTCTAATATGAGAACTGGGCGGAGAAAGGTGTGAGGAGGAAATTAGGTGAGTGGGTTATACCTGGTCTATATCTCAAATGGGGTATAAAGCCATATTTTTATTTAGATGTGAGGGTTCCGCGTTGAAAAGACATTAACTAAAAAACGTTTTTTTCGCACTTTTTCACTAAAATATAATTTTGCTGTTGTTTACTTTGAGATAAAAATTTTCTTTTGATTTTAGAATAAAATTTGGACAATATTGCCCTATAAAAATAAAAAATAAGTTATTTAAATGCCCTTGCAAAAATCCTTATTGTGTGAGGACTGCTTTCTTTTTAGCATAGAAAAATATGTATACTCTAATATATTTAAAACAATAAATTTTTTTTATAATGTAATTATATATTTTTTTTAAAAACCTTATTGAACACGGAAGAGTAATCGGTAGATTTGTATCTCCTGGTTCGGGGATTATTTATCAATTCATCAATCTGTTCAGGCGTTATCGAGGTGCGCAAATGATGTCTATAAAATCTCTATATTATTTATGCGATATATTTTTTTTTACAATAAAAGGAAACCATGAGAAAAAAAAATTACCATAGCTTCAATTTTAATATAAGTGGGATAATATAACCCTTATGGCATTTGACATATTTCCAACATGTACAAAGTAAGGTTAAATATATTTTAAAAAAATCGTAGAAAAATGCCTAAAAAAGATGACAACGATAATAATATAGTCCAATCGTAAAAAAAGGATGAGTTCATCACAGTTATATCCAGGGATCCAAATCGTAATAAATATTGGTTCAGATTTAGGTTCAGATAAAATTAATGATTTAGGGTTTGGGTTTAGATCGCAAAAATAATAATATAATACCCTTTTCGCATAATGTAAAGAAAATAACATTATTTAAAATTTAACGCTATTCTCTAAAATATTTTCAAGATTCTCTTCTGTCAAATTTTATCTATAAAGAGGAAGATAAATTTTAAAGCTGAGAACACTACACACACATATATATATATGCTAACTTGAGCAGTGGGGCACCATCAAATAATAACTTAGTATATTTTAATTTAATTATTTATAATCTAAACTGTAATCATCTTTGAAAGAGTTAAAATATCAAGAGGTTCAGACCAGTTCACGGGAATTTTTAAAGGTCCGGTCGATTCGGTTCAGGTTCGGTTTTAATCCCTGGTTATATCTTTGTAAGTTAAATTTTTTTTCGTCTCGACGTGGCTAACATTTTTTTAAATTATTTTTTAAGCTCGATCCATAAATAATATTTTATTCATTTTTAAGCCTGAGCATGGCCTAGTCCAAAATGATCTCAGTTAAATAGCACAAAGCGATCCCTAAAAAAAATCAGCCAATAAAAACGAGGTTTAATTGCTTCGAGTAGTAGGGAAACCGAGCAGGAGATGATATCGGGGTTGGTATGACCTTACCTATAAAACTATTGAAATTATTTTTTAAAACCTAAAGCTATTTCCAGATAAAACATTTTTTCAAAGCAGTTTCCCTGACCTTTTCCAAGGAATTATTTTAATTTGTCGATCTCTTTTTTATTGTAATTTAATATCTTAAAAATATATGGATTGTTCATCTCCGGGTCATTTAATCGTAATAAAAGAAACATTTAAAAAAAAGTTCGGCCTGGGAATGAATTTTTATGATAATATACATTAATTCAAGGGTTATTTTTAGGAAGTAACTATTTGTAGTTACTAATTCCATTCTTAAAAAAAAACTAGTTACAGTTACTAGTTGCAGTATTTAAAAAGTAAACAGTTACATTGAAAGTTACATTAAATAATTTACATAACTCACAATTTTTATATAATTTTTTTTTACAGAATGTTTAAATATTTTAATCAAAGGAATTTAAATGAAAATCCAATTTAATTAAATTATACTGATTTTCTCTAAAAATTAGCTTCCCTAAATGGGCTAAACAAACGTCTACAGGAGCGTTTTATGTAAGTGAAATATATAATTATATTTTAGAATTTTGAAAATCATCATATAAATTAATAAATAAAATATATATATTATTAAAGATATTATATAAAGGACTTTAAAAGTAACCAATTACTTTTGTCATTGCATTCTAAAAAATGTAACAAGTTACTATTTACATTTTTTAAACGTAACTAGTTATATTTAATATTCTGCCACCTCCCTAAATCACTCCCCCCCCCTTTCATATATCAAAAATGAACTGAAACTATTCCTCTGTAAATTTTATCCTCTACTCCACTCCTACCAAGTCAAAATTAACAAAAATATACGATACTATCCCCACTCTATCTAATTTAAATGACGATAGCCTTTATAACTACCTATCCTTCAATTTTAATGTAGATATTATGTCATAACCCCCCCCCCCCCCCTCCTGATAGAAGTGTCTGACATACATTATAATCCATACTACTATGTAGAATATATTTTAGACAAAATAACACAAGTTTAGAATCATAAAAATAAGAATAAGAATTATATAATTTACCAATCGGGGTAGAACAAAATAAGAAACTAAACACACAAAAAGTATCAATATCGCCGATATAAAGTACCATATTGCAGCCAATCTTGGACTGGGAGATGCATATATCACGATTATGTATACCAAAGCAACCAGAGTTCCACAAATATTATTCCCTATAATTATGACATTCGTGTATTTCATCGGTAGACTTCCTGCTAAGCCATAGATTGAGCTTTGATAGATTCCTGTAGCACAGTTCATAATCACCACAGTAATCATGGTTAATATAAAAAAAACCTTTGACCAAGTTGATGTATTCAAAAAAGCTAATACAACGGTGAATATGCACATAAGAATATCAATAATGATCGCAATAGGTATTCTTGGTTGAGTTTTATAAACTTGCGAGGTTTTATTCCTTTTGGAGCCACCAAATTGAAGGAATAAATTCATTCCATTTAAAAGAACATTTGGCAATTGAGATGTTATTCCTAGATAACTAATGAAATTATCCTTATATTCATGAGTGCCAGTTACATTTGGATTTAATTTGTAATCTACAAAATACTGGAGAAAAAAAAAATAGATTTTTCCCCAAATAATGTTATTTATTTACTGAATTAGCATTGATGAACATATTCCATGGAATAAGTACTCCAATACCATGTATAAGCATAATAATATAAACTAAATACATCCTATCATAATGTTTAACGGCTAATGTAAATGGTTTTAAATTTTTACCTATCGTCAGGTTCTTCAACATCAAACTGGGATGCCTCTATGCTTGAATGTTCATTGTCAAACTGCGAATTCTCAATCAATGTCTCATCTTTCTTTTCCATTTTCAACTTGAAAAAAATAATAGGCACGCAGAACAATATTTAAAAAATTTTTGAAAAGCGAAAATTTAATTTATTCTTCAAAATTTAAAGGAATTTATAATCTTATTGTTTTAAATTGGCATATTTTTTGCTAACTTTAAAATAAATCGATTTAAAATAAGGATTGTCATATAACTGCAGGGGCATAAAATGTCTATTTTTACCCATCTTTTTTAAATTTAATTTTAAAAAATTTATGGATCTACAATTTATTTATTATAACATTGGCGTACGCAGCGGGGGGGGGAGCAGAGGGACAAATCTCCCCCCCCCCCCAAAGCCAAAAAATGCAGATGCCGGATAAATTTTTCAAAAATATTATTGTTTATATTAATTTATATTTGTTAATATTTATTCGTTTATTATCACATTTATCTACTAAGTTATTTTATCAATTAATTTCGATTTCAAGTTTTCCGGCGTAATATTTACTTATTATTTTCAAATTTTTAGTGGCGTAATATTAATCTACCATTTTCAAATTTCTAGTCAATTAATTATTATTTCTGAAACTTCTTGTCCAACAGGGAAGAAATTGCAACCTTGTCCAACGAGATAGAGTCTCTGCCATCAAGCAGTAACAGCTTTTAAGGAGTTAGAAGAGCCAATTATTTGCTATTACTGAAATATCACAATGGCCTGAAAGAAATATTTCCTCAGAAGCAAGAAAATTATTGGATTCAATGCTTATTCCAAATTTTATTTCTCATTAGAATGTATTATTTAATTATACAACTATTTTAAGTATTACTTTTCAAAAACATGACATTGACTTGGTTAAGAAGATGAGGATAGCGGAGAGATCAGAACTCAAGGAAATTAGGGCTAATGTTGATGAAGTATTTCATATTTTATTGTTGAGTCAAAAGCAGAGCTTTACGTGTTTAATATTTGTCTCCCTCGACTTGTAGCAAGGCAAGCTCATCGTTAAAACATTAATATAGGATAAGTAGAAGAGTATATCTTAAATATAGATACATTTATAACCCAAATAAATGAATTTTTAATTTATCATGCAGCATTTACATCTGCAAATATTACTTCCACAAAAGCCTTCCCAATCTTTTTCAGATGGTGATAGAAAAAAAATATTTGTTAGATTTTTATTATGAAGATGTTAAAGTATCTTATGATGCCTTACTAGCTGAATAGTTATGTTTATAAGATTAACAATGGTTGATATAGTCCCAAAAAATGCTATGGATGCTCTGCATTATTTCAAACACATTTTAGATTAAATTCCCAATGTATTAAAAGGGTTTATAAACTCTTCCCATTAGTAAACTAATGAGAGAACATTTTCTTTTTTAAGAAGAATAACAGAGGCCTGCAGAAGTACCATTTGCAGGGCACGGCCCGGATTTTTTTTAAAGATTTTTTATCGCCCGGCCTGAGATTTTCTTAAAAAATTTTCAGGCCCGGCTTTTTTTAAAAATTTTTAGGCCCGACTCGGCTTATTTTAAAAAATTTTCAGGCCCGGCCCGGCTTTTTTAAATATAAAATTTTCAGGCCCGGCCCGGACTTTTTTAAAATAAATTATATTTATTTTTGATTTTTATAGCTAATAATAACGATTTCAAATATAGGCTTTTTAAAAAATACAGCCCGGATTGGGTGTTTTTTTAAAATAATTCAGGCCCGGCTTGGGTGTTTTTTTTTAAAAATTTCGGGCCCGGCCCGGGTATATTTAAAAAATTAAAATACTGTCAGGCCCGGGGGCCGGGCCTGCAGGTCTCTGAAAAACATACCAAGAAGTACAACATCTGAAGGTAGATTGAAAGGTTTGGATCTTTTGAATATTTATAGGCATTTGACGACAAGCAAGGATGAGATAATTGAAAAATTAGCTCAATCACAACGAAGATTGGATTTTACATTGTAAATATATAACATACAAAATGCAATTATTCCTAAGAAACTTTTTGTATAAAGGCTCAAAAAATTCAAATTTCTTTTTGGGTCATTTAAGTGATTCTTTTCATATAATTTTTTTTATAATTCACATTAATTTAAAATTGTCTATTAGAAATAGTTATTAGTCGTAATAAATTTATGCTTGATATTTTTAAAAAACAATAATATTTCTTAAAAAATTTTATTATTATTTTTAAAAACAAAAATATTTCTTAAAAAATTTTATTATCCCACTCCCCCCCCCCCCCCCCCAGACCAAATTCCTGCGTACGCGCCTGAATTATAATATAGAATAAACCTATTCAGTAAACGAATCGTAGTAAATTATTTGTAATGTTCGAATAAGATTAAATAATTATTTGAAATTGAAATATAATTCGAATTCTAATATAAATAAATGTCTTATATTTATTTAGCCATGTTAAAAAATAATATAGTTTTATATTTTGATAATATTATAAATTCAATATATAATATATCAAATAAAAAGATATTTTTTTTATAAAATATTTTTCTTATTAATTTTTAATAACAATATTTTTCAAAATTTTCATCTGATAGACAGGAACGCTTGGCAGTTAATACGGCATTAACTATACTAAAAACGCGCTCAAGGGTAGATGAAGGGATTGCGGTATTATACTTAATAAATAACTCTTTTAACGTGGGGAATTTATTAAAAACATTTATTGTTTTGTTATTTGCTTCAAAAAATTGAGATAAGAATTCTCCTTCAATCAATTCTCTACTTCCTCGACAAAAAAAGGGATATCTCGAAATTAATAGTTCTTGCATTATCATTTCTAGGGTTTTCAAAGCATTTTTTTCAATAACGCTATAAGTTTATTTTTAATAGGTTCGTTCTGTGGAAGTTTTATCCATGGCCATTGAAGCTTGAATACCTAATGTATAATTGCAGAAAGAACATATTGATCTATATATGTTCAAATCTTTAAAAAAAATAAAATACGTAATTAATTGAGAGTGATATTAATACGGCGTCTATCAATGGTTGACCATATTTGAGGCCACTAATTTTTTTTAATTTTAAAATAACTATCGTTATTGTTGGGTTCAAATATCCCAAATGCATTTTTTCTTCAAATTTAATGATTTTACTAAGTTATATATTATATTTTTAAAATAAAATAATTAATATTACAATCAAATGCCGTTTTAAATTGGAACCTGAAGGTTTTGACACTGATTAATACTTTTTAGGCACATTTAACACTTGGTAAGCATTGGATTAGTTCCTTCTATAGGATGTTACGACCAGAACCCGAATCCAAACCCTGAACCTTAACCCTCCCGAACCCTCAATATTTCCTGAACCCAAACCCTTTTTTTAAATTTAGGGTTCAGGGTTCAAGCTTCTTTTTTTAATTTAAAAAAATTTATATATTAATTTTAAAAAAACATTTTTTGATCATTTTTTCGTATAATTATTGTTATATTTACTAATTTTTTAAAATGAATTGTAGTATTATAATTATTTGATAAATTATTTTTATGGTGATACTAATTGAAATAAATTTTTTTAGAAAAAATGATGTTTCTGTTATTTTAACTGATTTTAATAAGTCATTATTTTTCTGGTCTCCGAACCCTGACCACCTGAACCCGAACCGGGTTCTGAGATTTTTCACTGAACCCAAACCCGAACCCATTTTTTTAGAAGGAGGGTTCTCGTCCCTGATTTAAACCTTTCAATTACCTTTACAATTTAACCATTTTAACTTTACAAATTTTATATTCAAATTAACTATTTCTTTAAATTTATAATATATTCTATATACGTATTCGACATATACCATCAAACAAAAACATCCCATACAATAACGTTGTTTTTGTGTAACCATCACTTTGTTATAAATAGGCAGAAAAAATTTGTTAAACTGGATCATTAATACCTTTAATGTGCAACTATAACTTTTTACTTGGCAATATCTATTAGATACTTTTTACAACGTAAAGCTTCATAATTATTTACCCTTTATCTTCCTTGAAATCCACTCTTATATAGTGATGAGATGTATTTTAGTAGCTTTAAAAATATAACCTAGACTAAAATACACTTTTATATAATGGTAAGTTGCATACTAGAGGTTTGCGCCCATCTTAAGAATGAGGCTGGCGGGTTAAATTTTTTATTAAACTACGGGCAGGTGGGTGGGTTAAGAAATTTAAACAATGGACGGGCGGGTTAAAAATAATTTAAAAACATTTAAGTAAATATTAATAAATAATTGTTTTTTGGATATTAAAAATTAAATGTACTTTTATGGTATCATAAAACTTTTTTTTAAATATAAATAAACTTTTTTGTATATTTAAAACTACTTTTGTGATAACGACAAGAGATTTGCTAAAGCTATTAAGATTAGCAAGATAAATATTGGCAATTCCTGCAACTAGTGCTTCTTCTGAATGAGGATTTAGCATTTTTGGAATGTTTTTAGAACAAAGTAGAACGTGATTGAATCCACAAAATGTCGATTCATTATTATTTTTGCATTATAATTATATATAATATCAATTTTATATTTATATTTTTTTCATAAATATTTTATTTGATCAAATAAATTATTCATCATTTAAAGTGAATATTTTTTTAAGCTTAATATAGTAATTTTTTAAATTATAAAACTTTTTGTAGAGATGTAATGCTGAAATTTTTTTTATTAGATGCTTAAAAAATTGAAAGAATGACCCTAATTAAATTTAATAATAGCGGGCTTGGGTTATTCTTTAATTATGGGTTGGGGGGGGGATAAAAAATTTTAGACTAATGGGCGATTGCGCGGGCGAATAAAAAATTTTAGATCAAGGAAGGCTGGTAAAAATTTTTTTAAAACATTGGGTGAGCGGGTTTATGGTATAAAAACCTGCCCAATAGACCTCTCACACCGTCGCCTTAAAGAAATAACAGGTCAAAATCCATTCTATGCGGAGTAGACTGTAACCTATAAAAAGTAACTCCAAATTAAATATACTCTAGTACAGTGGAGCGGTGATATATGTCCGGTATTGAAAGGCTTGAAATA